TTCTGAAATAGAATTGTCATTATGTGACCATATTAGCTGAGCTTTTTGAAGCTTCTACAATAAAAAAGGTTTTGAGGCTGTGCAGTGTATGATAATACCTGTATTTAAAAGGCAAAGAAACAAAACTCGGATGTCCCTTGTTATGCAATGGTATCAAACTGCTCTTAGTGTCGTCAAACTGCTCATTTAACTTCACTCATGCGGGAAGTTCTCGTGTGTTTACACTGACGCATTCTCTTTTTTCCTCACTTTTTGCTAAGAAGGACGTTTTTAGATGTTCTCTCCTGTTGCTGCCTTTTTATTTTATTTTATTGATGGTATAGTCTTCTAAATCACAAATGAAAAATGATGGTGTCCTGATGTTACATAGCCTGTATCGAGCAGCACAGGCACGTATAAAATTGTCTGTCTTGCGAAGCTCTTTCTTAATTAACTGTGAGCTCTTTCAACCAAAGGGCACTCTGCATAAAGCACAGACGATTTCAGGATCAGAGATCAGAGATACCTGGTGTACGGCTGGACTTTACAGGAAATTACAGATGGTTTATCTGTGTAATAAATCATTTTACTTTTCTGGCCTTGGGAAAGGCAACTTCTGCAGGAATAACAAATCTAGATTACATCCAGCCGTGATTTTGTGCAAGTATGCGGTAAACACTATTAAAGCAAACCTGTGCTTTGCCAATTCAGAGCAAAGCCATACATTTGCGTTAAAGGAGAACTATGAGGTGAGTGATTTTCACTCAACCTCATAGTTCGAGCCGACGTGTGACAATGAAACTGTCATACGTCGGCTCTATTGATCGGGAAGTGAGCGAACTCATTTTACGATCATCTCCCTGCAGAGAGCGGTGACTGTCAGTGACTGACACGTTTAAAAAAAACCCAGCAGTGTTTCTCTCCTTGGCGGCTGGGAGCGGGAGACTCCCGAAGCGCCAGGTAGAGTTTGCTGTTTGGAGATCGGTGTCCCTGGTTAGCAGGTAACCAGGGACGCTGATCTCTCTGCAAGTGGCCGGAGCCAGCCGTAAGATCACGGCTGGCTCCGCCCAGCTGTCAGAAGCAGGCTGTCGGGGCATATGCGTTCGGCTCGACTGAGCCACTCGGCCACGTTCGGGAGCTGTACGGGCTATAGTGAATAGCCCGTACAGCTGCCCTTCGGTTCCACTGAACCGAAGGGGTCCTGGGGCCAAAGCTAGCCGAAGGATCGGCCGAAGCTATGGCTAGATCCTAGAAGGTGAATAGAAGGTGTTCTCAGATTGCATGAGGGGTGTTGATGTCATAATCTACCCCTCGTGTAATCAGAAGATGCCTTGTGTACACTGATAAAAATACTAGGCGTTCTCTGCATGGTCTCTTTGTCGAGCGAGCAACCTCCTGTGTTCTCTTTACAGATCTGAGTGCACTCAGCACATCACAGCACAGCATAGCACAGCACAATATGGTGCAGAAAGGATCACTGTCAGCAGTGTAGTAGTTCTGGCTACTACAGTGTTTTACAAGACCCCCGTGGGCTGACCTTCACATGCATACTTACATTGGACCAAGCTGGACCAATGTAAGTATGGATATTAATTCATACTTGGAGTTCACATAGGGAATGTAGTTGTAGTTGTTTGTAGTTTATGTGTTTTATTTATTTAGGTGCATATAGTGATACTTTTGTTTACTACATAAGGTTTTTTAAGTATTACGTTTTTGAGGAACTGAACTAAGTATCTAAATTACCTGCATGTCATAACCCTAACCCAGTCTCAAATGATACACAAATGCTGCTCCTCATTATTGTGTTATAGCTGAGCTGGTATGGAAAAAAATATTCTTGCTGAATATTAGGAGCTTCCCCTTAAGGAGTAGAGCATGTCTAATCTACAGAGGGAAGTTTCACTTAGCTTAGTTAATGAGGTGAATCCAAGTGAAACTTCACTTCGCAAATAATACACAATCAAGTGCAAGGAAAATACTTTAAAAAAACAGGATTTTTTCTCAAGCAAAACAGATGACAAACGCACTCATCAATTCGTCACCAGGATTTTTTCACATGCTTTGATAATTGAAGTCAGCACAACTTCACCTTATTCACGAAGCTAAGGGAAAATTCACTTTACAAAGGGAAAACTTGCTTTGCAGTGTGAACACGCTCTACATCTTTAGCAAAGCAACTATAGTGCAATGTGGCATCAGCATGGATTAGTGGTGGGCATAGACTCCAAATATTTAAACTGGACTGCCATTGTGACTAATGAGAAGCACTTTTTAGCACGGTTAAATACGATTTTGAGTAAAACTATTTTTTTGTATCAGGACAAGTAGATTGTCATGAGAGACAAGTAGATTGGGCCCCTGTTTTAGCCTTTGGGCAAGTAGTTTTTTCAAAAATGGCCACTCCTCTGCTGAATAGATGTTACAGAGCTCTGTTTCATGCGTTATATTTGAAGTCAATAAGAGTCAAAACATAACATTTTGATGTTCTGAATTGCAGCAATGTAATTTCTGCCTATACATCCTGAAAATATATCAGTGCAGAGTTACTGCTGTATTAGTGGGCCAGTTAATGCATTTCAGAAATGATATCAATCTAGTCTGTTGCTTTTTTGGAAGGAGTTATGTTCCTTAATTCAATAAGCTGCTTATTCAAATTTTATTTGATGTTTGGTGAAATGGTCCAGTGATTCTTCCTGTATTCAGATATTTAACTTGGTTATGACAATGTGTGTTACATGTTTTTATATCTATTCTGTGAAATCTCTTTGTAAAGGATTAGTTTACGCAAAACTGAGATTTCACTTTTTAGGAATGTTAGCTAAAGTGTCTTATGTCTCCTGGAAGTGTATTATGTCTCTAAAGCTGGTTATACACGTTTAGAATTTCCTTAGAAAAAAATTATTCCATTTTTTAAAATGGTTAATAGGGTCAATTCGACTATTTTAACTGTATTAATGAAAGCAATCAATCAAAGGCGCAGGATGTAAAATGTTTGTTGAATGATTGATATTTTAACAGTAAAGGTTTTCGTTTGGGAAACTCTATTCATTACAAAACTGAATGTTAAAATCAAACAAAATTTCAAATGACATTTGTTAAATCTCTGATTGCATTGTTTAATGTTTAGTGAGTTTTTTGTTTTTTTTGTTTGAAAATCTATGACAATCTATCCAGCTTTAGGCTAGTGCTACTCAGGCCATTGTTGTTGGCTTAGTCATTTTGCTAAAATCGCTAGATGGTTACCTATTGTATACATGTGAGGGATGGGGGCTAAACATCTATATGCACATAAATAAAGCTCTTGGTCTCCTATTAAGTCTCCTATTACAAATATTCAATTAAACTATTTTTTCCCTCTAAAAGGAGATCCCACCACAGAGCAAAATAAAATATTTCAAGCTATATCCAAATATGTAACATAATATAATCTAAAAAAACTGCATAATACATGTATACAAAACATCTAAAATCATTTAAAGGAGAACTATGGGGTCAGGGCTTTTCCCCATAGTTCTCCTTAGGGTAACGGGAGGACACAAACTAGCGTCCTTCCGTTACCCTAAGCTCAGCTGTAGCTCGCGGTATACTGAGACGCCGCAGCCGGAGCGGATCCCGACATTGATGTCGAGATCCGCCCAGCTGCGTGAGTGACAGCTGGCTCTGCCTATTTAGAGGCAGAGCCAGCTGTACCCGCCCACTCCCCCGTCCTTTCCGCCAGTCAGCGCAGGCGGATCGGAGGGGGGTCAGTGTTTTTCCCCATAGTTCTCCTGAGGGTAACGGGAGGACACAAACTAGCTTGCGGTATACTGAGACGCCGCAGCCGGAGCGGATCCCGACTTAGACGACGGGATCCGCCCAGCTGCGTGAAGGACAGCTGGCTCTGCCTATCTAGAGGCCAGCTGTACCCGCCCCCTCCCCTGTCCGTTCCGCCAGTCAGCGCTGGCAGATCGGAGCGGGGAGAGGGGAATCCAGCCCCTCACCTGTCACGGCAGAGAGCCGTGACAGGATCGAGAGGTGAGCGAACGCCAGTATATGTTCGCTCGCCTCCCGATCTACTGAGCCGACCTGTGACAGTCTCATTGTCACAGGTCGGCTAGAACTATGAGGTGAGTGAAAAGCACTCACCTCATAGTTCTCCTTTAAAAATGCTTCCAACCCCCCTAATGGCTAGTGGTATGATCAACATCCAACTTAGGCCTGGTTCACACCTGTATGTCAGCCCGTCTGAACGCGCTACAAAACGGACTACGCCTGAAAAGGTACATGAGCTTCTTTGCAGCGTTTTTGTTGTGCGTTTCCATTGGGATACAGCCAAGTAGCCATCGAAAACGCGCGTTTATCGCACTTTTTTTACAGCGAATCACGGTAAAAATGCACGTCACGAAATGCGCGACAAACGCGCATATTCGATACGCCTAGGTGTGAACAGAGCCTTAGGCCATAAGTGTATGATAGCCAAGTAATGGATGGTAGAAATTAATGGCATATGTAACAACATATGTATCGAGAGTCCAACAAAGTATCCAGCAATGAAAATCTATTGCAACAAATCACCGACGTCTATTTATGTATTCAAAACATGATGTTTATATACTTGGTATCAGAGTATGTCCTCAAAGTTGTTATTCATCATCAACATAAATATCCAACAACTGAGAATTTTTTTGTCAAAGCAATGAACGACAGATATGACATGGTTCCATATTGTGTTACCTACTGGCTCACCATGCCTTGTTCTACAGGGAATCTTTACTGATAGGACCTTTCTGACCACCGCAGGACCTTTCTGACCACCGCAGTATCATCTGACCCATATCATCTGAGCCAGCTCAAGCTGGAGTTATGGGTGTGGTTAGACGATGGGACACAAAAAAATGTAATCATGGCTTTATTATAAAGTTTGCAAATGTTTATTTTAAATTATACAATTTAAATATATTTACGGTTTTACTGTTTGTTTTTCTTTTTAGGCTTGTTTTGCTTGACGGGTCTTCATGATGGACGGACACCAGTGAAATCCCAAGGAACTCTCTAAGTGCTGGAAAGCAGATAGCTATTGAGCTATTGTATTAGTGTGATTGTTATTCAATTTATACTATATTGTACCAAACTACAGCATAGCTATGTATGGAAGTGCTCGTACAATCACTAATTTGGAAGGCAGTCCTTCCAGATCACCTCGTTTGCCAAGATCACCTCGTTTGGGCCATAGACGAACAAGCAGTGGAGGAGGAGCAGGTAAAACACTGTCGATGGAGAATATACAATCCCTTAATGCAGCCTATGCAACATCTGGACCCATGTACTTGAGTGACCATGAGGGTGTAGCAGCAACTACATTTCCAAAAGGAACCATGACACTTGGAAGGGCTACAAATCGAGCAGTCTACGGCGGAAGGGTCACAGCCATGGGTAGCAGTCCAAACATTGCTTCAGCTGGCCTTTCGCACACTGATGTCCTGTCCTATACTGACCACATAGGCTTGACCAGCCCCTTACACCATCATCACCACCATCACCAGGTTCCTTCCATGTTGAGACAGGTAAGAGACAGCACCATGCTCGATCTTCAGGTACAGCTGAAGGACCTACAGAGGGAAAATGAGCTTCTACGGAAGGAGCTGGACATTAAAGACAGCAAGCTGGGATCTTCCATGAACAGTATTAAAACATTCTGGAGCCCAGAACTCAAAAAAGAAAGAGTCCTTCGTAAGGAGGAGGCAGCTAGGATGTCTGTTCTGAGGGAGCAGATGAGAGTTTCGCATGAAGAAAATCAGGTAAAAATGTTTTTACCTGGGGTAAAAATGTTTTTTCACACCTCAATTAGACCTTTTTAAGGAGCTATTTAAAACTAAAAATATCATCCATGCTTTTTTCATGTAGTACAGCACGACCATGATCATGCTGTAAATTACGCTAACTTGCGGGACATGCAGGGAAAGTATAGTGTATTTTCAGTGGCACATATTTTGAGTGATTACTTTACAATAATGATTGCTGTGTCTCCCAAGTTTATGTTGTTGTTTTTACTTCTTTATGTTACTGTATCAGCCGCAGTTTAGCCAATGAAGGCAGGGTAGATGGTCCATTTCATTCACTCTACCTCTCTGCCTAACAGCCGTTGAGATATCAAGCATATTGGGAATGCATTATTTGAAGTGAATTGCCCTACTCATATGGGGTTATTCACAAAGCTGCCGAAGGCAGCCGAGTGAATAACCCTGCCGAAGTGAAGTGAGCCGAACAACGTTTGGCTATTCACTTCTGGCTTGTGCGGCCGATTTCAGCCGTACATCGGCTGCCTTTGGCTGCACTTCAGTGCAGAGCATGTTCGGCTGAACCGAAGTGCAGAAGGACTTCGACTCAGCCGATCCAACATCTGGATTAGCTGAGCCGAAGCTCAGGCAGCTCACTCGCTGCCGTTCGCCCCTATTTGCATTTGCGAGGCGAAAGGCCGGCCTTCGGCAAGCCGTTCACCCCTCTTCGGCTGACTGGACTGGAGCTAAAGCAAATGCTGAGCCGCTCAGCTGCCTTCGGCTGCTGTACGAGCTATTGTGAATAGCCCGTACAGCAGCCCTTCGGTTCGACTGAACCGAAGGGCTCAGGCGGCCAAAGAGAGCTGAATGATCAACCGAAGCTATGCCTAGATCCTTCTGGTCCTTTGTGAATAGCCCCCATAGACTTGTAAGAAGGAGAACACAGTAATTTTGTAGTACTGGAAAGCAGGGAGGAGAACCTGTATGTGTAATGAGCAAATATGGCTTCTCCCATACATACAGACAGACATACATACATACATACGTATATAATGCAATGCTATACACACAGACTGATAAAAAAATTTTAGATACACATCAGAGGTGTGGAATTCGTATCGCCCGACGCCCGGGACATGTAGTTCCGGGCGCCGGGCAAGTGGTTTTTGCACTGTTTTACTTGTCCGTAGCAGGGCTGGCTTACAAGTTTTTTTTTAAATAGCTAAAAAGAAAAAGTAAAAAATATGAATTAAAAATGTAACTAAATAAAAATGTAAAAAATAAAAAGGCGATTAAAGGCGATTTCCAAACATATTTTAAAGGAGAACTATGAGGTGAGTGCTTTTCACTCACCTCATAGTTCTAGCCGACCTGTGACAATGAGACTGTCACAGGTCGGCTCAGTAGATCGGGAGGTGAGCGAACAGATACTGGCAATCGCTCACCTCTCGATCCTGTCACGGCTCTCTGCCGTGACAGGTGAGGGGCTGGATTCCCCTCTCCCCGCTCCGATCTGCCAGCGCTGACTGGCGGAACGGACAGGGGAGGGGGCGGGTTACAGCTGGCCTCTAGATAGGCAGAGCCAGCTGTCCTTCACGCAGCTGGGCGGATCCCGTCGTCTAAGTCGGGATCCGCTCCGGCTGCGGCGTCTCAGTATACCGCGAGCTAGTTTGTGTCCTCCCGTTACCCTCAGGAGAACTATGGGGAAAAACACTGACCCCATAGTTCTCCTTTAAGTAAAAATAATAAAACAAATGAACATTTTCTACAAAGTAAATATAAACAGAAAAAATTTAAACCAGCCCCTCTGCCCCCATCTGCACGCGAATAAACGCGCACTGTTTTCAACTGCAATCGTGTGCAACCGCACGGGCAGGGCGGTATTGCAGCAGGAAAACGCGCAATCTGCCTGGCATGACTGGGGTGCCATTAGAAAATAATGGCACTGCCAGCGCGATCGGCAGTGGTGTGCGATCTGTGACTGCCCGGTCATCGTGCACGAAACCGAGCGGATGGCTGGGTGGTCACGGAATCGCACACCATCGCCGATCGTGCTGTCAGTGCCATTATTTTCTAATGGCACACCAGTCATCCGCAGGCAGATTGCGTGTTTTCCTGCTGCAATACCGCCGCGGGCGATCACGGTCGAAAACACTGCACTGTGCATGTCGTGAAAATAGGTACATCTACCTTTTTTTCAGTGATTGCCACGCAGATGTAACCCCATACATGCGGATGCTACCGCTGTATGCAACCGCACACGATCGCACGCCCTGGGAATCCCCAAGTCTGCACCAACCCTAAAGGGTAAATTCACTTTCCCAAGTAATTTGGGAAAACTGAATTACCCGCACAAATCTCCCTCCCACCATACTTAACTTTCAGCAAACGGTCCTTCCCGTCCACCAGTACGGGTGTACTATCTGTACCTGTTCCAGTTCCAGTCTGAATTTCGCTCGCAAATTGCAAGCACTCGTTGGTCAACGCAGTCACCTGACTGCACTGACCAATGAGAAGCGCTTCTTAGCACTGCTAAATACGGTTTTGGTTAAAATTATTTTTTTTGTATCAGGACAAGTAGATTGTCATGAGGGACAAGTAGATTCTGCCCCCGCTTTAGTCCTTGGACAAGTAGATTTTTCCAAAATTTCCACACCCCTGCACATGTACAAGATGTACTTATCTTGCACATGTATATCTAAAAAAAAATCCTTGAAAGGAGTAAATATTCTCTTTAAGTCTGACCGGCATGGGGATATGGTGGGACTAATAGATTATTATTAACATTAGTTAATTAGTAAAAATAGTTAGGCAAAAATACCAAGTTATTATTTCTGTAGCATTGTAATCAACATTGGGAAGGTACCACTGCTAGCGGTCCATGCAAAAAAGATTTTATCCATGTGACTACACGGAGGTTTTAGAAGCAAGAGTAAAACTTTTCGTTATCCTACAATTTCTCTTTGAATATCTATTGCTTAATAATATTTATATATTTGGTATAAAGTAATGCCTTTTTAAAGTGACTAATATGTTGTAAGCATTTTAGTTGTAGATCCATCGCGTCTCTTTCTGAAGTATACATTTATCAAATCCCCCCCTCAGGTCTCTATCAACTTTGTCCAAGGCAACAAATTTGATTGAAGATGTATCACAATTGTGTGTAAGGCCGACATGGCGGCTAATTGGAGTTGTAAGTTTTCCACTTTCAATAAGATAGATGTGATCATACACCTGGCGTTGAAATTGGCATTTCGTCTTACCCACATAATGGTAATGGTAATGGCAAATGGTAATGCCTGTTAAATAGACCCAGAATACGAGTCTGTCAGCTCTGACATAATAGAAGTCACCAGCACTCCATGATATGTGGAAAAAGTAAAGCACTTTTAATTGAATCGTCACATGTGTCAAACAGCCAACGTCTCGGAGCCACGCAGTATCCCTTCTTCTGGGCGACATAGTGACTATATCGCCCAGAAGAAGGGACCCTGCGTGGCCACGAAACGTTGGCTGTTTGACGCACGTGACGATTCAATAAAAAGTGCTTTACTTCTTGCACATATCATGGAGTGCTGGTGACTTCTATTATGAACTGTATCTGACCCAGCGCCATCCGTGTTGTCACTTCAAGCACCCACCTCTTATTCAAGGTCTGTACGCTGTATGGGGTGCAGGTGATTTCATATTATCGATTGTCCGCTCTGGCAGGCTCCAAAAGGGCTGCAGTATACTTTAGAATTTCAGGGTCTGAGTTAGGTATTTTGGGTGCGAAATAGCACTTAAATTAAGTTAAATTAAAACAATTATATTCCTTGCAGCCCATACTCTTCATCGACTTGGCTCACCGTTCTAAAGTCAGCAGTCATGCCAATTCATACACATTTGTGCTGTGTTTGGCTTACCAAGCTTTGGTCATATACACATATGGGTTGCTGTGATTTATAAGCTGGGTCTGATTTATGATCCAAGTCTGACACTGTCAGCTAATATATTTTAAAATTTTTTTTAATTTATTGTCGCAGTAATTTTTTTACAGTCTATCCAGGAAATATACATTATTGTCAAATGTATTAGTAAAACGTGTTTTGTATAAAAAAAAATACTTTTCTAAAATGTCAGAGAGCTGGCAAAGAATAGAAGATGAGTGAACCATGAAAAGAAAGTGTTCCAGGTACTAAAAGCTCCCAAATACCAGGTGTCAAGTCATTGTGGAGAGTCTATATTTATAACACAGCAACATGCTTCTCATTCCTGAGCTTGTTCTTAGGAATGGATGCTGTAGCAAGATATTTGAAAAAAGACAAAAGCATAAGCTTGAAGGCCAAACACTTACAGGTACCTACTTGCACACGTAGTGCCAACTAGAGATGGGAAGGGCTGGAAAAAAACCCGCAAAAATTTGGACAAATACAGGTTTTTTTTCAAGGCCGTTTTTGTTTTTTTTTAAAGGAAAAATTGAAATAAAAAAAAGGAGTGTGGAATATGTTCTTTTACAATGATACATAATATATCTTTCCATGGTATTCAAACTATATAACATGAAGACCTTAATGAAAGATTTGAGACTTTACATAAAGTCTTAAATAATTGCACATTCTCTCAGCTGAAGACAAGCAAATCCTGGAATACAATTCAAGTAACACTGTACTTCTCAATGCAGTTCTCAAACTCAAAAGGAAATATGCATTTCTGCCACTAGGGGCGCTGCAGAGGCAGGGCTCCAGTTTAGTTAGCTCATGGGCTCTATTTTGTACTTCCTACAGTTGGGTGATTGTTGGTATGATAGTAGATGATAGTTTCTGTCCTCTCAGGCTTTAATTGACAGGTAAGAGGGTACAATTGTCTGACAAATTAGTTTATCTTTATAATCTTTAAATGATTCCTAATAATGTTCTGCACTGTCACAGTATAATGTTTACCTATAGTCTGCTCAGTAAATTCTTTTTTTTCTCCTCTCAGTAAAATGGCGAGACCAACATCTAGAGTTTGGAAACATTTCCACAGTGCAACTTCTGCTG